ATGATGGTGATGCCGATGCTGATGATGAGGAGGATCGTCGGGATATCGGGAGGACCCTCTCGGGGGCTTGGTTTCGAGGCCTCTTGGGGGCCGTCTGGCGGCCTCTTGGGGGCAACTGGGGCTCCGTGGAAGCCTCTTGGGGTCTCTTGGGGGCCTCTTCGGGCGGAAGGCTGGAATTGTGGGTTCGTGCTCCCTCTCTTGGGCCCCTCTTGGGGCCGTCTTGGGGTTGTCTCGGGCTGGTTTGGGCGACCCTGGGGCCGTTTTGGGGTTCCTTTCGGCTGTCTAGGGGCCCTGTTGGGAGCCTCTTGGGCCGTCTTGGGGCTGGGCTGGGGGCCCCTGGGGCCGTCTTGGGGCAAAGACAGCACAATGAAAATCATCGATCACCTTTCCTAGCAGTTCTTGTGCCTGCTGCCCTTTTCGGTTCGCAGGTATTGGCTGTATAACTGGTAACACACTCCAGCTGTTGGACTTGTGGTGAAGGGTAGAACCTGTATCATCGTCCTTCAATTTCCGTTACCGCCTTTACCAAGTGATATTCGGGAGGGGATCGGCCTTTCGGTCAACCTTTCCCTCTCACAGCCCCTGAGCCAATCACCTCTATATTTTCTTTCATCTCTGGGCCAACAGGAGTCGCCAAGCTCGAGATCTCCCTCTGGGGGGCGCGAAGGTATAATTTGGCTTCCTTTGCTGCGTTCCCGCCTCCTCCTCCTCCGTGCTTCTGTTGCGCCAGAGAGATGGCAAGTCTTGTCGGCTGCAGCCGCGATAATGGGCCAGTATCCTTAACCGGCCGCCGGCGCCCTATTTTCCTGTTCCTCTTCCTCGTCCTCCTCCTCCTCCTCCTTTTCCTCCTCTTCTTCTTCCTCCTCCCCTCCCCCTCCTGCTCCTTCTTCTCCTCCTCATCCTCCTCCTCCTCCTCCTCCTCCTCCTCCTCCTCCTCTTGTGGCGCTGCTCAGCTTTGCGTGCGCCCTCCCGCCCAAGCTGGGCAGCCTTTCCCTGGCGGTGGCGGGGCGGGTTTCTGCTCGCCGCTCCCAGGGACAGGGGCGTTTCGGGCCTGGACAGCTGCTCTTCTCTTGGGCAAAGGGTTAAGTCGGGCACGTCCCTCCACAGAGGGAATGCTCAAACATAGTAAAACAATCGTCGGGGGACGATCTTCCGAGCATCCTTTTGAGCATGTTTCGAGCATCGTCTCGGCACGTCTTCTCGTTCCTCCGAGATTCCCCTGTAGGGGACAGACCCGACCTGAGCAAAGGGGCCCGCTCAGGGGCGCGAAGATCAGGAGCGAAAGAAGGACGTACATGTACATGAATCCACGCTGGTTTCGAGAGTACGCATTGCGCAAGTGTTCGTTTAACGCGGCCGGTCTCGCGGATCGAGGGGCCGTGTTCATGTACATAGCTGGGCGCGTACGTCCTTTGTGGGCTCCCTAGAAGATCGAGCCTCGCGTCGCGCACCCCCGGGGGCGCAGGGCGCCGAGGTGGGCGGCCGAGCTCTGCGGGGGGTGGTCCTGGCCCACGGCGGCGCGGGCGGGCGCCTCCCGCCCTCGGGCCGCGGAAAGAGAGGCCGGCCTCGGGGAGGTGCCCACGCGGGCTGCTGGCACGAAGTCGGGCCCGTGCCTCTGCACGGGGAATATTCCGCGATGGGCAACAAAAATAGTCTGGGGACGATGTTGTGACAATGTTGGAGTATTTTTGGAATGTTTTGCGGGTATTTCTTGTATTCTTCGCCCAAAAAATCCTTCTACAGGGGGAATCTTCCCAAATGCTCGAACAATAGGCTGGGGACGATTGGTTGAACAACTATTCTTGGGTATCTGGAGGTCTGTTTGGGATATGTCTCCCTCCTCGCCCAGAAGCCGCCTGTGGGGGGGGGCAGGCCCGACCTAAGCTTGGCATTCCAAGCCGCCGTGGAGTCTCCGAGCGACGCCCCCCGGGGCTCACGGCCTGCTCGGCGGAGCTCTGCGCGGCGGCCCTTGGGGGGGGGCGCAGCGGGGCCCGATGGCATCGCCAGCGCGCGCAGGAACCCAGAGGGCTCCAGCGAGTTTTTTTTTCCGGGGGGGGGGGGAGGTTCCAGAGAGCCCCCCAGGGGCCCCGCGGGACCTCGTCAAGGCAGGGGGTGCGAAGCCCTTGGGGGACCCCTCCTGGAAGACCTCCTCCCCCAAAAGCCCCTCCGGAGCCCTCCGGGGAGCACTCCGCGCTCCCGGCTCGGTGTCTGGCGCCCGATCTGTGTGTGTGTGTGTGTGTGTGTGTGTGTGTGTGTCCGCTCCTCATCTGTGTGTCCGCGTACTCGGCATCGCCCGCGGCCGCACACTGGCAGGGCTACAGCGCAGTGGGCTGAGCACGCGCACGCGCGCATCTGGGAGCGAGCGCTGTGCTTCCGAGGGGGGGAGGAGGAAGGAACACAACGGGGCAGTCCTCGGGCTTGAGTGCCAGAGTTCGACGACTGTGCATTCATCATGTCCTCACCTAGTGCGAGTTGCAGGGACGGGAAGGAGAGGTGCGGGGCAGAGAGGAGAGGCGGGACCGAGAGCATGGCTTCTTGAGCCGTTCGATTGGTTTCTCGAGCTCCCAGGCCCGCCCGCCCGCGCTCGAGGGAGTTTAGACATGCTGTTTTTCGACGTCTGTGCGCTGTGATCTCGCGAGGCGCTCTCGGATTCAGTGCAGTGCCTCCTGCCACCGTCGGCGTTTCTGGGAGGCTCGCAGGACAAGAAGGAGTTCCTTCGGCTCGGAGCCGTGTTTTGTCTTCCCCTCGGCGTGTGGGTGATTGCGCCAGTTTTGGAGCACACACGGCATGCGCGTGTGAGCCCATCGCGGTGGACCTGGCCCAGAGCTGGTTTGCAACTGGATTTCCTGTGTCTTTGTGACAGGGACGGAAACAGCAGCAGCGATTTATAGTTTTCAGTCAGACTCGCCGCTCGAGGAAATTGTAGGGCGTACACCGTACGCGCGTGTTACCTTGATCTGCTTATGTTGTCCTGGCTCTCATTCTGTCGTCTTTGCGCGCGCAGGCTCCAAGGCAACCGCGCCCGCTTCGTCATCGCAGGCAGCGGCAGCGCGACCTGCCAGCACGGCCGTGAGTCTTCCGAAGGCGTGGTCGGTTCTATCGGGGGGCGGCGGCGGCGGGGGAGGAGGATGAGGAGCGGGAGGAGGAGGAAGATGTGGCGGATGAGGAGGGAGGCGTTTCGACCCAAGTCGATTGCCTAATTGATTTTGCATGCCGCAACAAGTGCGGCCCATCGCCCATGGTCACATCCCTGCGCCGACCGCTCAACCGACTATCCGCCTGACATCGACGTGCTATACCCGATCGCGCGCAACCTCCAGCCAGAATTCGCTCAGCTGCAGGTTCACCACAGCACCATATATCCACATCAGTGTCAAGCATGCATCTCACAAAATGTCACCCACGCGTGCGCGGCAGGAACATGGAGGGTGCCCAAGGTGCCAAACGATCAACAGCAGCTACCCTCTCAAATGCATTAACTGCTCAGCCTGTGGAGACCACGGGAGGAAGCCAGGTCGATGCAACGAGTTCCAGCGCCGACAACATCCCCACGCCGACCAAGACCGAATCCAGACAGGACACGAACTGGCAACTACCGTCCTCTTGATCCGCCAAGCGCGAGACATATAATGCCTTGAACCTCAGCGAGCACGGAGCATTATTGCAAGGGCCTTAAGGCTGGTTCTGCCGACCTTGAGACGGGGTACGCTCTCCGCCATCCAAATAAAAGAGGCGGAAGGGGGACAGGGGGCAGTGGGCAGTTGCGGCTTCTACGCGAGGGCGAAATCGAATCGTCCTCGGTCCATCCCGCCACTGCGCCTGGGTCATGCGTCAGAGGCCTTGGCGATATTTCTGGGGATCTTGGGGGGCTTCGTGGGGAGCTCCTGAGGGCCTTAGTGCCCCACTTGGGTTTCGTCCTGGTGGCTCTTGAGGCTATTGGGATCATGCTTGAGGTGTTGGCTTCAGCGGTGCGACACTGTCGTTCTTTTTGGGCTCCTCTTGGGGCCGTCTTGGAGTTCTCTTGAGCCCCTCTTATGGCCCTCTTGGGGCGTCAGTGGGCTCGTTGGGGCTTCTTGGCCGTCTTGGGCGCTCTTGCGAACGTTACCCCGAGAATGTTCACATCACGCAGAATTCTAAGGGATCCTGCCGATGCTTGCCGATGTTTGCCTATTTGCCCTGCCCCGGGGACCTCCGAGACGGCCCGCGAGCTTCCACAGGGAGCCGAGGCTGTTCCCGGGAGGGCTGAAGTGAGCCCAGGCAGCCCAGAGATGGCCAAGCTGGCCCCAAGATCGCCCGAGTCACCTCATGGAGGAGGGGGGGTGCGGGTCAGGCGTACTCCAGATTTCGTAATAAAGGGAGGGGGGTCTCATTTCGGGGGGGGGTTCTTCCAGGCTATCTTGGAGGGCCCTCGGGGGTCTGGGGACGATGTTTTGGAGGGTTCTCCCACGGGGGAGGTCTGAACTGGCTTGTCTTGGAGGGTCCAGACCCCCTCCCTTTTATCACGAAATCTGGAGCATCCCCTCGGGGACCGCTCCCAGTGGCCCACCCCGGCACCCGGCCTGGCGACCTCGGCCGGTCGACCTCGGACAGGTCGAGCGCGGCTTGGCCGATCTCGGCTTGGTCGCTCACGGCTTTGTCGATTTCGGCATGGTCGGACTCAGCTCGTCACCACCCACCAAACCACCCCAACCCAACCCGAAGGCTCAGATTTACCCTCGATTTCCAGTGGGGGGGGGGTCGGGAAACATCGACAAAAACACGTGTGGAACCCTTACCCCCCCAACCCGAAATTCGGGTCTTCGGGTTGGGTTGGGGTGGTCTGGTAGGTAGTCAGCTCGGTCGAACTCCTGGTTAGTCGAAGGCCAGACTGTCAGATTGGATTGGGCCCCAAGGGCCAATCTGGCCCGGCCAAATCGGATGATCTGGGTTATTCGCAAGACTGGATTCGCGTTGACTCTCTCGCCAGATTGCCCCCGTTTGCCAGATTGGGCCTGCCAGATTGGCGCCAGATTGGCTTCGACTACCCAGAACTCGGCCCGGTCGAACTCTGGCACCCTTTTAGCTGCAGCGTGGCGCCCAGCCAACGCGGCCCAGTCACACTCGGCTCCGGTGACTTTGGCTTGGTCGAATTCGGCGTAGTCGGACTCGGCGAGGTCGTACTCAGCCCGGTCGGATTCGGACCAGTCGGAGTCGGCCTGGTCGAACTCGGACAGATCGTGTTCGGCCTGCTCGGTCGAATTTGAGCGGTCGAGCTGAAACCATCAATGGTCCAGCTGCTTGCGGCGGGCTGGACTCGGTTCGATCCGAATTGGCCTGTCGTGTTATCTTCTCTTGCCCAGCTCCCATATTCTTGTCACATATGGTTGTTGTTTTCGCCATTTTATGTCCTGTCCTTGTTCTCCCCTGTACCCGGCCACCCTCGCCTCGTCGCGAATAACATTTTCTTTAGCGTTCCCTCTTCCCGTTGAGGGCAGGTGAGTGGTACCGCGGGAATTGCACTGGGCTGTGTGATTGTGCTGCTCGCATGCGGAGTCCAATTCATGTCAGTGCACCTCTCGCAAGGATGGTGGCCAATGGGAATCTCCACCTGCGGTCTCAGTGCGCCATGTGTTGTCGTCATCACCCGTCGACATCAGTTGGAGCAGTTATTCGTGTCCCGTCTTTGCCATCCCTCGTCGTGGTCGTCGTTACTCGTCGTCGTCGTCGTCGTCGTCGTCGTCGACGCTGTCGCCACCGAAGCCGCCGTCGTCGTCTTCACTCGCTGTCGTTCGTCTCTCGTCGTTATCAATCGTTTTTGTCGTTGGTGTCATTGTCGTCCTCGTTTTCGTTGCTCGTCGTCGTCCTTGTCTCTGGCTGTCGTCGTCGCAGCCGTCGTTGTCGTGCCCAGTCGCCGATCGTCGTCGTCATCTTCCATTCTCGCCCTCTTCGGCATTCGTCGTCTCTCGCAAGTCGTCGTTGTCTTTACTGGTCGTCGTCAACCGTCGATGTGGTCGTCGTCGTCTTCGTCGTGCCCGCCTCGGCACGCGCCTTACCGTCGTCGTCGTCGTCGTCGTCGTCGTCGTCGTCGTCGTCGTCGTCGTCGTCGTCGTCGTCGTTGTCAGCGTCGTCGTCGTCGTCGTCGTCGTCGTCGTCGTCGTCGTCGTCACTCGTCGTCGCTCATCACTCGTCATCGTGCCCCGTCGTCATGATGTGTTTAACCCTCCGTGCTGCAAGTAATTTAGGAACGGTATCCTCGTTTCCCGTCTCCCCTGTGTGCGTCCCAATTTGTGGTGGTTTGTTTTGGGATTCCTCCCCCTCTCGGCTTAACCCGCTTTCCTCATGCTGCCTCCTGCTGTTGCGAGAGTGAGGACGAGAGAGAGAGAGAGAGAGAGAAAGAGAGGAATAAAGAGAACAGAAAGAGAGAGAGAGAGAGAGATAGAGAGAAAAAGAGAGAGAGAGAGAGCGTTCCTTGACCGCAAGATTTTGCGGCTCGAGCGGCGTGTGGAAAAAGGAGCGCGCGTCTCGCGCGCTCACCCGTTGCTTCAGTCTGACTTTTAACAGATCTCTTGGCCGGGAGGCTCTCGTTGCTACGGCAGATCGTAAGTTAGCTTCGAAATGCTCAGAGACTTGGCCGCCTTCACATGCGAGCCACCGCCGCTAAAAACAACCAAGATCCGAGGCGGGAATTTATCCAGATCCACCGCCTGGAGGGTCAGTTTTTAGGGCCTCGGCAGGCGGTGGAGATGGACATATTGGGGCCCCCGGCGGCCGAAATGTATCCATATCCACCGCCCGCTGGGGCACCGGGACGTCGGTTCCCAGGCGGTGGATATGGATATGTCCCCGCATCGCCTAAGAGCACTTCGGCTCCAGGGCTGGAGCTGCCCAATCGCACACGGTGGCTCCTGTGTGATCGTCGAGGCCATCATCATGTATCGCCTCCGCCGTCGGCATCCGTCGTCCCTCGGCTGTTGGAGAGTGGTCGATCGCCGTCTTCGTCGTGCCCACTTCGGAGCACTCCTCACGCGGACTGCGCAACGCAGCGACTTCGGCGCGCCTCTGCACGCCATCTCAACCCCGCTCTTGTTGTGGAGGATGATCAATGGAGAGGAAGCATGTTGCCAAATAATTTCCAGATGTCTAGAACATGTGTTAGAACTGTTTTAAACATGTAAAACACATGTTTTAAACATATCCAGGACATTTTTGATATTTTAAACACATTTTTAATTCGATGATAGGACTGTTAGGGTGTCCATTGTCGTGGCATCCACCCCGCTCTTGCCTCACTTTTCTGTAGGCCATCCCTCCCGACGCGGGCAGCGTATGAGGAGAGGGCCGCGCTCTACGCCACACGCAGCTGCGCACGGCTGGGTCTTCAGCCCGGTCATGTCCGCGGCTTTCGTCTTCGTCATCTCGGGGGCGGCAAAGAGGGGGGTTATGACTAGGGGGGGTGGATATCATGGCGGGGGCCATGGTATTTCCCCAGATTTCGTGGTGCCTCTTCTTATTTCATTACGT